GATTGCTGGTGTTATCAAATCCACGCCAACGCAATGGCTCCTAGTCCTGAGCCTCATTCCACCTCCCCAGCGTATACACTCCCTCACTAGTGAGTACCAAAAGATACTTAGCAACGAGACCCTGCCAATTCATCAAGATATAGATGCTGCCAACGGTAACCGTTTGCGCTCCAGGCGGCCGCCAATAAAAACAGCACAGATTACAGTGGAAAATGAGTTCAACTTAACGACCACTTGGACTCGAGAATGGATGGAACAACAAAATAGCAGCTTACCCTGCATCACACAAAAACCACCAGGTTTTGACTTACCACGCAACACATGGACCATGTTAAACCGAATCAGAACCAAACATGGCAGATGCGGTTATATGATGCACAAATGAAGTAAACGACCATCCCCACTCTGTGACTGCGGACAACCACAAACCATCTGTCACATCACAGAACAGTGTCCTACAAGATCCTATCAAGGCAGGTCAGAGGATTTCATAATGGCGACTCCAGAGTCGATAGAATATATAAATAAGTTATATGTCCGTTTGTAAACATATATGTATTATGTTTTATACAAATTGTGTGTAAATTTAAATGTAAATGTGTCAAGTGCCATACGATAAATAAAATAAAAAATGTCTTTCCTTTTATTTTGATATCATAGAAACCAATTCGCTAAGGATTATTGCTTAGTTGACGAGATATGTTGTGGATTACAATTTTAAATTTCCCATGTCTATAATTACATCTTTATCAACGTCTGTTTTGCCTTACAATTGTTAGAAGGCACAGATTAAAGCAGAAATTTGAATTTGGTTTCGACAAGTAGTTTCCGGATTTATTATCAGATGCCGCTATTGCGTCCATACCAAAGCCATTTTAGTGTTGCTTCTACTACGACAAAAAATATTGTTTTCACGTTCAGAGCGTTTGTAAATAGACGCTCCAAAGATTCCATTTAGGATGAAATACGAATAAGCGGATGTATAGACGTACTATACGTGAAATCAAATCTTAACTGTCTTTCCTTTTACAAAAGCAAAAATTGAGAAAGACTTTTTCCAATGAAAATAGTGCACTTTCAAAGATGAAACTTTAAAGAACTATGTATTAGAATAAAACCGGTAGGAGTTAATAGGGTAAAGTTACTTTTAATACCTTAGAAATAGCTTAGTTTACTATGATGTAATAGTAAAAAACGATTTAATAGCATTTATACCAAAATTCTATACTCACAAAAGTTGTCAGGATCCTAGATGCTTTCTTTCCTGAAGAATATTTATTAACGGCTATCAAATCAAATAAACAGGTAGCTAGCGTTTTTTCATATGAAAAGAAAGATTTTAGACTCTAAATGATTAAGATAATTATTGTCAACTAACAAAAAAAAAAATTTGAAGTTATATCTACAGCAGTGTATCTATGTCTGTTCAAAAAATTATATTATTTCCATCCCAAAGCGCTATTGGTGGGACGAAGAATGTTCTGATACAGTTAAAAGTTACAAAGAAATATTACAAATTTTCTGTATTATCAAAATATTGCAGCAAAGGCTGAATTCATCTTCAAGTTAAAACAAACAAATAGTTGGATAATTTTTCTTAATCAACTCAATAGATCTACATTCCTTTCAAGTATTTGGAATTGTGTAAAAGATATAAGAAATAAATATAATCAACAAAAGAAACCTCCATTGCACCAAGATTTAATCGAGGATGTTCTGAATATGCTGGCCCCGCCTTTGTTCTTTAATTTCAATATAGACAATCTAAATAATGTTTATTTAATAAAATATTTATATTATTAAATTTACATATCGATGGCCTAGAATGAAAAAGTCATATTTTGATAAATGATAAAGTCGATATTTTTCGATATTGAGATTTTTATACCGATGTATTGTGTGTAACAGGCCTCACACATTACAATTGAGAGAGAGAGAGAGAGAAAAATAATCTCCTGCTGCCACCTGGCGAAAAATGAAAATGTTGTCAGTCTTGAATTTGAATTGTATATTCACCAGAGAAGTTGTCGTATCTCGAGTGAAACGTGCCGATAAATAATATTTTGATTTGTGCAAAGAACTCAATTTATTTTGGAAAATGGGTAAGTTTATTACATTTTTGTACTCTTTATTTCCTATTTGCTATTGTTTTTCAGCTACATACAGAACCGATCCAATGTAGTGTAAATATCAAGCAAGATATTATCAATGCAGACGAAAACCTACACGAAACTACCTCAAATCTACCAGTTTCACCTCTAGAGCTAAGTGTATCTAATGATACGAGTATAATATTTACAATGAATGATGGTTCTTTGCAATTGGAAATGAATACCCCTGGACTTGTTGGTGACAAAAGTTGTACTTCAGATTCAAGTAAACCAATTTTGGAAAACATCAATACAGATTTAAATGAAAGAACCAACACTGATGCAAATCTTGCAACTATACATCATGATCCGACCAATGCTAGTAGTTCGATTGTAATTTCTGCAGAAAATGATGACGTGAATGATGCTTCCAATTCAAGTGAACAAATCTTGGAAAACATTGTTACAGATGAGCCTATCAATTCTGATAGTTCCATGGAAATTTCTTCAGAAAATATAAGAAAACGAGCACGAAAAGGTAAACCGAGAAAGGGAGAGTGGATCCAAAAGTCAAACAAAGATAAGAGAATGAGAGGACAAAATTACTTGGGAAGAGAAGGAAATTCGTTTACTATTGGGCGAGAAGCAAGAAAATTAAAAGTACATTGTGGTTGCAAAAAAGGTAAACTTGGAAAAAAACTCAAATGTGCTTTGTTTGATGAATCCAAAAGACAAAAAATATTTGCTCAGTTTTGGGATATGAATTGGGATGAAAAAAAAATGTTTGTTGCTCAATCTGTCAATATTGTTAGCGTCAAGGAAAGAAAATATAAAAATAAGAAAAAATTCAGAAGACAGACTACTTATGAATACTACCTAAAACTTAGTACAGCTGAAGAAAAGTACAAAGTTTGTAAGAAACTTTTTTTAAATACATTGGCAATTAGAGAGAGATGTATATTTGACTGGGTAGGAAAGTACAAAAACTCTTTGAATAGTACAAGGGAGTCCGAAATTGAAGAGGAAGAAGCTTCTGCTTTGGATTCTTCACAAGCCAATGAAGAAAAAAATGTGCAGGCTCAACCTAAAGCTGGCTCAAATAAAGCTGAGGATTCTAGAAAGTGTATTAATAATTTTTTGGATGCTCTTCCCAAAGTAGAGTCGCATTATTGTCGAAAATCAACAAAAAAGTTATATTTGGAACCAATGTGGTCTTCAAAGGCAGCTCTTTATCGTGAATATATAACATACTGCAATGCAATGAATCAAAAACCGGCTTCATCTTTTACTTTTGATGATGTTTTTGAGAGCAAAAATTTATCATTGTTTAGTCCTCGAAAAGATCAATGTGATCTTTGCACCGCTTACAAATTAGGAAATGAAAGTGAAGAAAATTATATGATACACCAAAATAACAAGACACTAGCAAGGAATGAAAAAAATGCAGATAAATTCTCTGACAACAGTAAAATTGTATTAACAGTTGACTTACAAGCTGTACTTTTATGTCCCGTATTAAAGGCATCAGCACTATATTACAGAACCAAGCTAAAAGTCCACAATTTTACAATATTCGATATAAAATCGTCTGAAGGATATTGTTTTTTGTGGGATGAAAGTGAAGGAGGAGTAAATGCTGACGAATTCTGTTCTATAATATTTCATTTAATCTGTACAAAACTTGATTTGTCACCACCCGTGAACGAAATAATAATTTTTAGTGACGGTTGTAATTACCAGAATAGGAATTCAATTTTGGCAAATACATTCTTGCTTGCGTCTGTCAAAACAGGAATAAAAATTACTCAAAAAATTTTAGAGAAGGGTCATACACAAATGAAATGTGATGCTATGCATGCCACTATTGAGAGAAAATTGCAGAACCGAGAAATTTATTCTCCAAGTAATTACATAGAAATATGTAGAACTGCCAGAATTAAACCGAAACCATGTTGAATGGCTTGAGTATACTTTTTTCAAGAAATTTAGTAGTTTAAACGATGTCTCGTCTCTAAGACCGGGTAACAAATCAGGCGATCCTGTAGTGGCAGACATAAAATGTATTCAATATTGCCCAAATGGGGAGCTAAAGGTAAAGACAAGTTATGAAGATGAGTATTCTAATATTCCACGCAGAATTAAAATGCCTCTTATAGAAGACTTGGAACGAATCACACCTTTATATCAAAACAAACCGAAGATTACAGCTATAAAATTTAGACACGTGCAAGAAATGAAACGTGTCCTTCCAAAAGGGGTGCACAATTTCTATGATTCATTACCACACGAGTAAAATAAATTCTTTTCTAAAGCTATAGAACATAATCATTATATTTTATTAGTTTTATTTTGTACTGAAACTTTGTAATAATTTCTTAATAAATGTATTTAATGTGATGTTGAGGCTGGCTTCTTTAATTTTGATATCTGAAAATATCGTAAGTCAGGTAATTTCTAGAATTTTGTTATCTGAAAAAGTCGTAAGTCCAAAAAAATTTGGTTTTCTCCATAATGCCTACTCATTAAGATTTTTTTAATATCAATTTCATTGTATTAGTCTAAAAACTAATATGGTACCAAACAGTTTTTCATTAAAACCATTATTGGTCAAAATAACCAGTTTTTTGTTCCTCCTGTATAATTTGTAAAAACCTACTTACGACTCTTTCATTCTAGGCCATCGATATACTAATAATAATACAGAATTCATAATTTAAATTTATTATTTTCTCTAAACTTTGAATTGTTGAACCACACTAAATGAAATTAATAGAAGTCGTGATGTTAGAAATATTTTTTTGTCTGAAAGTAGAAAGAAGGTCGATATGTCCTAGTGTGCAATTTGAAACCAGCTCTTATATCTAATAATGTATATTTATTCTAGAACTAAGTAAAAAATAACAACAAGAAATGGAAGCACAACCCCCTCAAATAGACAATAGATTAGAATATTTAGGTAGTTACGTACAAAAAACATTAAAACTAAAGCCCGAAAAATGGAGCCGAATGATGAATACTGAAGATCACAAAGCTGTAGTCAAGAAGTTTTTAGAAAGACCTCATCCAGTACTCTTGGTTATTGTATTAACACCAACAGCACAGCTTGTAGCTGCAAATGGATTTCCATTAGCTCAACTAAAAAGCAAAGGTACGTAACCGTTACATTTTTTTCATTATATTGTTTAGTTTTAGTTGCTCCTCAGTCAATGCTCTTTCATGCTTAAATGTCTAGGAATTTCATGGAATGTTCAAGAATGCAAAAAATGATAAAAACATCACAAATGCATGATACAAATTGACAAACAATGATTAAGCATGATCAATTTATTATTTATTTGATATTGATATGTACACAAAATTTGCTATATTTTATATTTATTATACTTTTTTGAATGATAAAAAAATGATAAAGAATAATAAATAAGGAAAAATAGTTAAGGTGAGTATAGTACAGTAGTGGTACTATAACAGCTTTGTTTCTGTGGTTTGAAATGTTAACTGTCACTACTAGTTTTCACGCTAACCATAATTAGTTCTTGCCTAGTAGCCGTAAAGTAGGTTCATAGCTTAAGGTGTGAAGTTATAGTATAATTCTACTATTCTACATCAGACATTGTAAACATTCATATTCAAACTACCAGTACCTCAACTACAATTGACAATAAAAAGACTACAATTGACAATAAAGAGAAAAGCTTGGATAAAAAGACAAGATATCCAAATACAACGACAAAGACACTTACAGTTTATTTGCACTTACCCTGACTATTATATATTGCATTCTATAATCTAGAAAATGTTAGTAGTTTACGATTGCCCTGGAATACAGGGAAGTGTAAACCAATAGACCATTTGCAATCGTAGGCTTCCACGGCCAGAGTCAGAATTATAGTTTATTCGTCTACCGGGTTTGGACCGTGTCATATGTGAGTGACCCAAAAGTGGGTTTATCTCGACGTTTCGCTACAATTGTATGTAGCTTCTTCAGGAGAACAAAGAAAAAGAAATCAAAAGACAGGAAAATGGGTAGTTAGCAACGGTAACTCAGTTGCTCAACGCAACCAGAGAGCATAAGCTCTGGCTGCGTTAAGTAGTTGAGTTACTGTGACCAAATGCCCATCTTGGTAGTTAGTATTCGCCTCTGGTTGCGTTGAGTAACTGAGTTACCGTTGCTAACTACCCATCTTCCTGTCTTTTGATTTCTTTTTCTTTGTTCTCCTGAAGAAGCTACATACAATTCTAGCGAAACGTCGAGATGAACCCACTTTTGGGTCACTCACAAATGACACGGTCCAAACCCGGAAGACGAATAAACTACAATAGACCATTTGTTTACAAACATAATAGGACTCATATTGTTTTTGTAATTTATATATTATGTATTGTGATTTAATCACAGATTCTGTTTGTAAAAAATGAAATCGGTTCTCTTAAAATTTTAGGCTACAGCTTTATTTTTACAATATGTAAAGAAATTAGATATATTTCACAAAATCAAAGATTGTCAAAAAATAATAAATAATGGTAAATAATACCATTTCACTTAAGTATATACTTACAGAAAATTTTGTTATGGTTTATATTTATTGTACCTACTTATGCTTCTGCAACACGGCTGGTAAAATAAGCGAGAAATATCAAAAGTATAAAAAAGAAGGATTGCGTAAATTAAAGAACTTTAGAAGAAAGGTCGGTGACAATTAATTGTAAAGAATAATTAGATAGTTTCGTGTGTGTTCAAGAATATAATAAAGTTTTGTGTATTGAAGAATGACATATTTAGCCATGAAATGACTTGGATAATGGAATCTAAAGAAACTTTGTTTTACCCATTTAAAATCGCATCTTTCGTACCTTGGACGAAACGTACCGTGGTAGATGATACGTTTTACTGCGATCTCATAAGCTGCGAAACTGACAGCACAGTTTAACCACAAACAGTTAGGACACTCTTAGTCGGCGCCTTTGAAGTATAAAAGTATCCAGACGCCATATTGAAAACAGACTAGATCAGTTACGGACTGACACAAGTGGTTAGAACAGAGACGTGTTTATATTATTTCAAAGTTAGTAAAGTTAATTTGAATTAATTACAATCGACAATATATTAATTTAATTTAATTATTATTATCAAAATGTTTTATTTATTTTATATAAAAATAAAACTTTTCTACCATAGCCAAATAAGAAACTGAAAAACTTATATTCCTACTAAAGTAAAAAACAACTCTTACAATTATTTCGGGAGGCAATTTTGTGTGTAAACTAACTTAAATAGACTTACTGTTAACTTCTACAACAATAATTTAACAATAGTAAACTTACAAAAAATTTTAACAAGTAAAAATGATATTGGAAGAATTAAGAGGGAGTGAATACGTGTATATATATATATATATATATATATATATATATATATATATATATATATATATATATATATATATATATATATCATTTATCATCACCCAGCCCTTTGCGTCCACTGCTGGACATAGGCCTCCCTCATTTTTGTCCATTGTGCTCTGTTTTGGGAACTTTTTATCCAATTTCTCCAATCTCTTAATTTCTAAAACAATCTTGACAAAAGTTTAGGGTGACACTACATTCTTTACAACTTGCTCTCTTACAGTCATCACATGATTTCATGTCTTTATGTTTCGGACAAAAATGACGTCTTGTTTGCTTAGCAGGTTGTCGATTTGAAAGTTCCTCAGTTGGGTTTCTTGAACTCTTGTCTTGATCTGTTCCAAGAATTTTTATGATTGTGGTTTTTAAATCATTATTAGAGAGCTGTTTCATATCTTTTCCTCTTTTCAGATGTTGATTCAAAAGACTTTAACCGAGTAATATCGTGAAATGTTTTTGAGACAAAGAACATTGACTATTTGCGCTTTTATAAAGAACATATGCATTTTTTCTTGTTATATGTTAAATTACATAAAGACAACCAGAGGTCATCTTTTTTATTATAAGTTTTTTACCTGCATTTTTAAATTGCGTTTACTACAGTTTCTAGTAGAATGGTTGTGAATTTAAGATTTTTTTTAGTAGCAATGGTACTTATTTCTTTTTAAAGTATTTCATACAGTTCTAGCAGTAATACCAGTTTCTTTTGAAATTAGAACGTGCTGTTACAAGGAAAATTGATTTCAGTTAGACTACTTACGGCATTTTTACGTTGTTCCTGTTCTTCATTAATTGCACGAGCTGGTTAATTTTCAAATTTAAAAATAATGTTGTGAATTGCAGATTTTGATGGTACAGGGCTTTCGAATGAAAACGAAAACGTAGCGATTACATCGTTGGCCCTACTTCCAGAATAATATCATTTAATAATTTGAATTTTATGTTCAGTTGTAAAGGTTACCATTTTCCTAACTGGAAATATCAATTCCTTTATTTTTTTGCGAATAAAACCAGAATTATTATTTATTTATTTATTAACGGGATGTTTCCATTTTTTACAAAACAATTAACAACATAAAATATCCTAACCATAACATAAACACTAAAACTAAATATTAAATAATTATTACCTAAATGTTATTAAACAATTATTAAATTACATAAATTAAATTTTTATGAAAATCATTTTAAAATGAAATTACTATTTTTACTAGAACTATTTTTAGACTTTATTAAACGAAAAATAAAACTCGACGATAAAGATATAAACAAAGAAATCACGACAGATGACTTGACTACACGTCACATTAATATAAGTAGGGTGTCACTAGCGTTCGGTCTGTTTTCAATATGGCGATATGGCCTGCGCTAAATGATGCGCGTACTTTTTCCCGCCTGTCGAGTGTCCATACTATTCTTTTTTATACTATGCTGACAGTTACTAAAGTAAATGTCTGTTTTTGGGTGGAAATTTCCTCGCCACGACGGATTTGCTTGAAAATTTGGATTTAGATTACTCTTACCTTCCACTTTACTTTTGGACATTAACCCAGGGTTGCTTTTACTTGGGTGGTGAAAGCCACCCCTTCTCGGGGATGAAAAAACATACGGTATAAATAAGCCCGGAAATGGATAAATGAGGTAACTAATTCTAAGCAACTTTTATTCTATAGTTTTACTCGTTAAGTTAATACTTTTTGAGTTATTTGCGAAAGAAAATGTTCATTTTTCAAAATAAGAATCATGTTTTCCGACGGTTTTTATAACCAAAAAATGCCTTTTTTTAAAATAACATAAAGATTTAGGGATACGAAAAATTTTGAACATATTTAAAAATATATAGGATTTGTTTTTCTTAACATTTTGATTTTTTTGTTTATTAAAAGACAAAAATTGGTTAAGATATTGCTGTTCAAAGTTTGTATATACTCGTGATTAGTGACTGGTTCAAGCCTTTTCAACAACAACACTTTTAAAAATAGAGGTTTCAAAAAAAATATTTAAATGATCCTATTGCCCTAAAAAACCTATAAAATAGTTTTTTAAGCACTTCATGACTTAAAAGCTAACAGCTCAGACTTAAGAACAAACATGAGTTCTCCGTATTTCATAAACCTACCCATACTGACACGACTATACACAATTCATCATCCCATCATACACAACATAAACTGACAGCCTATCATAGCATGTTACATAGATTACCAGAAATTCTGATGTCAAAATACTTTGAGACATAATTAAATATCATTAAGCAAATAGCAGTAAACAATGGGTACAACGAACAAACAATTAATAAAATTTTAAATAAAAAAACTACACAAGAAAGCCCTGAAATTAGTATTTTTACCACCAGAGAAAAAACCCAGTACCTTCTGCTTGGTTACATATACAGGCAAAATATCAACAAAAAAATAACACATAAAAAAGGAAGGAATAACACCAGCTTTTAGAACAAACAACAACTTAGGCAAATATATTAAAAACAACAAGAGCTAAAATAAAAAGCACTGACACAGTGATGTATACAAACAGAAATGTGGCGACTTGCCAAAAACTTACATTGGTCAAACTGGTAGGAATTTTAACAAACGAATAGCAGAACATAAAAGGGCTTTCAATAATAGAAAAACAGATTCTACATATGCACTTTACCTTCTAGATCATAATCATTCTTTTAATGACGAATCTCAAATTCTTCAGACATAATTCTGAATGACCAACTTGAGACAAATAGTTCTCCACTCCTCAAAATTTACTAAAAATTACAAAGTGTAAACGCATACCAAAAATAAATCACTTGAAAAAGGTTCTCTGCCGAAACATCTGTAGTGATAAGATTTTATAATAAATTTTGAAATTTTAAAAACAAAGTTCTCAGTGTTTTATTGTTATATAAAATTAATTTCCATCAAGTGTCGAATCCATCACTTATTTAAATTAACATTCATTCACTTCATTAAAAGATGATTTGAATCAATTACTCTCTTTAATTTACAATTATACAATTTTTTTCTAAGAGGGTAGTACTTGTCCCTAAAAAATAATAAGCAACCAACGCCAACCAAGTGAAATAAAGGGTAAGTAGAACATAATTCCAAATGTTTAATGGATTTTCAGTAAACCTGAAAATTATACAGTTTCGCCGTATTTCATGTTCATTTACGGATTAAGTGTGATGATAACCCCCTCTGTGGCTCAGTGGTAAGAGCGCCTGCCTTTAAACCTAAAGGTCGTGAGTTCGAATCTCACCTGGGTGGAAATTTTCGTTTATTAAAAAAAAATTAATAAATGAAAATAATTTCTATCCTTGTGTGATCGGTATTCACCGTTCGGATACAATTAGCGTCTCTTAGCAAAGACAATGACGTCGACTTTGCTAAGTATCAAGACAATTACCCTACACACACAAACACACACACACACACACACACACACACACACACACACACACACACACACACACACACACACACACACACATACTACATTAATAAACTTATCTTGATTGAGACTGGCTGAATGACAATTGTCCAAGCCAAAACACAAAAAAAAGTGTGATGATGGGATTGACGCTGTAATAAAATTTTTTGTACATCTCTATTTAGGGTATAAATCACAGTTGTGAGATATTATTACAACTTTAATTATTTGTTACAGGAGTTTATTTCATCAAAAAGGCACCAATTCCTGTGTGTAAAATAACGCCATCCGAAACCATAATACCAGGAGATCTTTCACCTAAAATAATTGATCAGCTAGCATCACTTGTAGACGAGGTAAATAATTTAGTTCTATTTGTCGTTCAATCACTATAAATTTATTATCCCATTAAAGTATCCTCTAAAAATTAAATATTATATTTTGTATAGCTCCTAGGCAGCAACATTTCTGTAGTTCCTTTTAAACAGCTAACCCTTTCAGCTCCTCTTTAATATTTCCCAGCAGCAACATGATGCCGGTATATAAAATGTTCTTTAACCCCAATATATCAGTTGAATTACATAAAAAAACATTTAATAATATGTCCAGACATACAATTTTCCCCTATGGAAATTAAGAAAAAATCAGACGCACTAGCGCTTCATGGGCATGCAGTATACATTCATACATGCTGCATGCCGCGGTAGAGCGTCTGTAATGTAGTAAAAGTGATAGCTTTGAAATAAAGACGGAAATTAATAAAAAGGTTTAATGCAAAATGTGTTTATTACTTAGAGAAAAACAAAATAAAAATTCAGGCAAAATATTAGAAAATAAAAAATCTTTCAATATTTTTAAATATGAGTTATTGTACAACAGTTTAAACAACAGCCTGCTTTGTCTGGACGAAAATTACGTTTATAAATTGTATCCCTGCTTACACTATGCTCGTTATACTTTCTACACTTTTTTCTCATGATACCACTTTTTTTGTTTTTGACTTCACGTTTCTGCATAGATAATGCAATGCTATAAACTCCATTTGGAAACAACATATCTCTAATAACAGACAAACGAAATTCATATAGCCCAACTCTCCTTCCCGTATATTTTCTATACCAAATATGGGAATTCACCATCATCATTTGTATGATCTGGAAAAAAAAATTGTTTGGTCGTCTCACCATCTTTTTGAAAGGGGTAATAGGCAAGCATCTGATCTTGTCGATCTATACCTACACCTCATATTCTCATTGTATCTGACAATTGCGTTCGGCTTAAAAACCTTTTTACCTCTCCTTGTCACAACTTCTTGCATATCACGTTGCACTTCTATTGATATATAGTAGATATCTCGTTTATCTTTCTATTTACCTACTAAAATGCCGCTTCGATATCTTGCAATACTTTCTGATTTCTGAAGTGCAGCATTTTTTACATCTGTTGGATTATAATTTCTATTCATTCTCAACGTTACGATACAATGAATTCTTTTATCGAGGAACTTTTTGGCCAAAATAAAACTATTGTAATAATTTTCCATGTAAACACAATGACCAACGCCTAATTTTCTCTCTAATAGTTGTAAAACAACTTTTTCGGTGTGAGCTTTGCTTCCAGCATCGTCGTACTTTCTTGTATATATCATAAAGTTTAAAACAAGACCGGTAGGTTCTGTCATCATATAAAGTTTGATTCCGTATTTATGTTTTTTATTTTTAACGTATTGTTTGAAATTCAAACGCTCACGATGTAGAATCATTAATTCGTCTAAGCTCAAGTTCCGTCCTGGAAAATACAGTTTGCTCATTCTTTCATTAAAAAAATTATTCAAAGTCGAGACCTTATAAATCCTGTCATCAGGTATTGGTTCATTATCTGATGGTTCGTGTACGAAGTGTAGACATCTCAATATAAGCAGAATTCTGTTTCTGCTCACGTGGGAGGAGATAATTGATGTGGTAAACAAGAATTCGTTCTTTTTCCAAAATCTTGTAATCTGGGCATTTGAACTACACCCATGTGACATAATATTTCCACTAATACACATAAATCATCGGATGTAAAAGGTTTTCATTGAATTATTCTAAAATTTTCCTGAAATCCGGTTTTCAAAAATATATTTTTAGCATTCGTATTAGTTTGGTCGCAAAAAATTTGCAAAAATTTATTCGGGAATAACATTGTATAATAATTAATAGGTCTTTCACCAGAAAGAGAAACTAGCAATTGTTGTATTTTTGTAAAATTCAACTGCTACATCAAATTAGGAATTTCCTCTTAAATATCTGTTTCATCATTATTTGCAACAGAAGTATTTATATCCTAAAATTAATACTTCTAGTGAAGAGTTGAATAAATGTTTTAAAATTTACTTACTAATACTCAATACTTATTATCTGGCACTACATCATCGTTATCACTTTCATTATGTAATTATCATCACTGAAAGCATCAAAATCATCATCATTATCAGTATTTTCCTCTAAATTACGAAGTGGTTCCTCTTCTGCCAATGTTTTTTTTTTCATTCCCATTTCCTCTTTACACCCGAGCAACTGGATTTTCATCTTTACCTGACAATTTTTAATTCAATCTTACAAATAATCACTACTTATACGCACAGACGACGAACGTGAAATGATAACTATTTCCACAAAGAACATTTGTTAAATTCCTAAAAATTAGAGTATTCCCCGAACAACACATTACCTACTTCTTTTGTTCCTTGGGGTAATCCTCGAAACCAATAGTTCATTTTTTGACCTTTTTTCTGACCCATATGTTAACACTGGCCTTATCAGTGTTTTATATAGGCATCTTTAATTTTTCTGGGTAGTTTTGGGGCCATTCAGTAGCAAGTAGTAGGGTAGCAGTTCTAGATCATCAATTAATAGTCTAGGTATCTGGTTGCCTGATCTAGTACAATACATATACTTGTTTTCTGTGCGTTTATTTTTAATCCCATTCTCAGTGCAGACGTCCTTAATGATCGAAATGCTTCGATCAGAGATTCTGTGGACCTAGCAATAATATCTATGTCATCTGCATATCCGAGCACTTGTACAGATTTATTAAAGATGGTGCCATTCGTATTAATATGGTACTCTCGAATTACTTTTTCTAGTGCAAGGTTAAATAAGAGACGTCCATCTCCCTGTCTCAGTCCATTTTTACAACGAAAGGGTCTTAAAAAGTAGTCTTGGATTTTGACTACATTCTCTACGCCTGTAAGTGTAAGTTCCGTTAGTTTAACAAGATGAAGCGACATTTGAAATTTCACCATAGCCTGTAGAAGTTTCTGTCTTTTGACTGAGTCGTATGCGGCTTTGAAATCCACGAATATGTGGTGAGTGTCGACTATGAACTCAATCGTTTTCTCAAGTATCTGCCTGACTGTGAATATTTGATCCGTTGTTGATTTATTGGGTCGAAAACCGCACTGGTAGTTCTCAACTATTTGTTCAGCATAGGGGATCAATCTTCTGTACAATACGTTGGACAATACTTTATATGCCACGTTAAGTAGGATGATGCCTCTATAATTATCACACACCATCATATCTCCCTTTTTGTGAAGAAGGTGCATTACACCTAATTTCCAGTCTGCGGGTGTTTCCTTTTGTTGCCAGATTTCGGTTACTAATTTATGTATGTGTTTAAAAAGGCATTTTTAAAGAGTTCGGTAGGAAGATTGTCCAAACCAGGGGATTTGTTATTTTTCAGTTTTAAAATGGCTTCTCTAATTTCTTCTTTGGTGGGGAGCGACTCTTGAGCGTTTTCATCCATTCCAGGCAAAGTAATTTCTATTTGTTCTTCTTCACGACTGTCGCTAAGCAGTTCTTTAAAATGATTCGCCCACCTGTATAGTATCTGTTCTTTGTCACGTATTATGGAATCATCTCTATCTTTACATGCTGTTATTCTGGGTTTGAATTCTTTTCTGCAGGTGTTTATCTTTTGGTAGAATTTTCGCGAGTTGTTTTTATTGTAGTGGTTAACAATCGCGTTAAAAGCGTTTTCATATGGCTCTTTCCTTTTCCTTCTAAACGTCGTTCTTTCTTCTCGTCTAAGATTTTCATAGTCTTTCAGGTTTAATCTCGTTCTGCTCTGCTAAAGTCTCTCATATGCTTTATTTTTCTATTGGTAAATGGATCTACATTCTTCGTCAAACCAATCTTCGTTTATTTCAGCCTGATTAGGTTTTAAAAAGTCTTTAGCCGCTGTATGGATAGCTTCCTTGCATTTGGTCCAGTGTTCTTCTATACTTAAATTTTCGTCGATTCTTGTCAGCTCTTCATTTAAAATTTTCCTGTAGTTATCCCTATCGTCTTCAGATTTTATCACATCAGTATTATATTCGTGGATTTTATGCTCTGGCCCTTCTTAGCGTTTGATATACGAGCCTGAGTTTTGTTCTTACAAGGTAGGGGTCAGAGTCTATATTAGCACCTCTACATACTCTTACATCTAGTACGTCCGAGAAATGTCGACTATTAATTAGTACATGGTCAACTTGGTTTTTTGTTTGATCGTCTGATAATTGTCATGTGGCTTTGTGGATATTTTTGAGAGGAAAACATGTACTTACTACCACCATTCTCAATGATGCTGAGAGTTCAATCAGGCGTAAACCATTTTGGTTGCTGACAACATGAAGACTATGCTCGCCGATTGTGGGTCTGTAAATAATCTCTTGGCCGCCTTTAGCGTTAAAATCACTAATAATAATTTTTATGTCATTGTTCTGATATTGTCTGTAACTAAAAAACCTGCCAAGAAAAAATTTGAGATTAATGTATGATTTGTCATACACTCGTTTTTTTTTGTCCAGTGTTAATTAGATATTTTACTACTTTAGCCTATAACCATAAAACTAGTACTTAATGTCGATATATCACCTTGATTTGAATTTCCAAGCATCCATAGATGAAAGAGGGTCTGTAAATAATCTCTTGGCCGTCTTTAGCATTAAAATCACCAATAATAATTTTTATGTCATTGTTCTGCCATAGTCTGTAACTAAAAAACCTGCCAAGAAAAAATTTGAGATTAATGTATGATTTGTCATACATTCGTTTTTTTGTCCAGTGTTTATTAGATATTTTACTACTTTAGCCTATAATCATAAAACTAGTACTTAATGTCGATATATCACCTTGATTTGAATTTCCAAGCATCCATAGATGATTCTCTTTTTATTGCAATACCTAAGTCAAAACTAGAATCTTCTTTCTTTAGCACTAATTTGATTTGGCTAATTTTATAATGTAAACGGACAAAATTATTTCAACACGAAATACAAGTCTTAACAATCACTATGAGTAATTGTTAACTTTTATCAGAACGGCCACAT